AGAGTAAAGTTCAATGTGATAAAAAACTGAATATATTTTTGTTCTAATGAAAATTTATGAGCGATATGAAAGCTACACTAATTTTGTAATCCCGTTACTCTCATCACTGCCGAGATTTTTTATCAGACGTTTTAGTAAACTTTCGGTTAATATATTTGCTTACCAAAATGATTGTTCCACTATTTCAACAGAATTTATTTTATTTATTTATTAAATACACTGCTCTACAAGCTAAATGCCTAGTTATAGAGCAGGAAAAACATTGTAATTACAAAAGTAAATATAACATATTGCACAATAAGACATAATTTGGATATAACATAAATTACACAACATAACAAAAATTACACAATATAACAAAAATTACATAATATAACAAAAATTAAATAAATTAATGACTATACACAGGAAAATAGTACCGAAACAGCTTTACAATTTTTTGAGCTGCGAAAGCTTACAAGAAAATAATTCAAGTCTACCTTGCAGGTTGTTGCAGTTTTCACACATAAAGTACAACGGCGAGTTTTTTAATAAATTTTTCCGAGATAGCGGGAGATAAAACATTAAGTTGTTTCGAGATTCAATTCTTGGCACTTTAAATACAAGTTGTTCTAGTAACTCGGAACAATCAATTTGGTAGTTAATAATAATATTAACGACTGATTTTTTCGTCTATATTCTAAGCTTTGCATTTGGAATCTATCTAAAAGCAATGTGTGATTTATCACAATTGGTGGATATGTTCCCTCTATTTTAAGTGCCAAGAATTTTAGATAACGTTTTCAAGAGCGTTTATGTAAATATCATAAAATGGTCTCCATATTAATGAAGCATATTCTAATTTTGATTTGACGAACGCATTGTACAAAATATTCATGGTTTCAATAGAATTGAGATCAACTGCATGCCTAATTTCTGAATGATTCTTTTACCACGTCATTTAGATATTCATTAAAAGTAAGTTTTCTATCGAACTTTACCCTAAGATCTATAACAAAATCAGGCCTATTTAATATAACACCATCCAAACAGTAGTTATAGTGAATTGGAAAATCTTTTTTGGTATATGACAATATATTACATTTTTTTGAATTTAATGGAAGCTTATTTATTAAACACCAATTATTTATTTTATTAATATTCATTTGTAATTTAAAACAATAATTTAAGATATCTACCTGATAAAAAAATTTGACATCGTCTGCGTATATTAAATATTTTACGTTAACGTCATTAATTATGTCATTTACGAATAGTATAAATAAAAGCGGTCCCAGAATCGAGCCTTGAGGTACGACAGAGGTTATTAAGATATCGACAGACTCAAATCCAAGCACTTCAACAAACTGGGTTCTTTTTGTCGAATAAGATTGAAAAAATGTATGACAGGCTTGGACAATCTAAACTTGCCAAGCTTTTGAAGTAATATTTTATGATCGAGTTTGTCGAAAGCTTTGGAAAAATGTGTATATATTACGTCTAGTTGACCTCCGCCATCAACTATTGTAGAACTGTATTGTGTAAATAAGAAAAGATTTGTTATTGTTGACCTGTTCTTACAAAAACCATGTTGTTCTTTTCCACTATCTGATGTTTGACATGTGGTATTATAGTATTGTATAGTAAAATTTTAAAAACTGGCAAAATTACATATAATAGTGATGGGTCGATAGTTCTTAATACAATTTAATTATTTTATTTAAAGGAATAGCTAACGCATGGGAACAATCGCGAATCATAAAGAATGGTATATTATCTGGTCCCTTAGTAAATTTAGATTTTAACTTTACTATTAGGTCTGTTCCAACACGCCCGAAAACCGTAATTTTATCGTACAAATTATGCGCTGTATACAATTTTTGTGTAGAGCGCAAGATTTGTACGGTAATATTACGGTTTTTGCGCGTATTGCAACAAACCTATTGCCTTCTGCACATCAGATTTTTTAAATTCAGCTATATGCACATGTAAATTATCTGATAAATCACTCTTAAAGTCAACATCAAAAGTTGATAAATTACTGTAGGAATTTTTAAAGTAAGTAGCAAATTCATTTACAATATCCTGCATGTTTGAAAGATTTAAATCATCATTACTCATAAATTCAGGTATTCCACCCTCTTTCCTTTTAGAATTTACGTACGACCAAAAGTTCCCACTATTTCTTTTTATATTCTCTCTTTTATTTGCTTTCTCTACATCCTTTTTAATATTAGATCTTAGCAGATTAAATTCTTCAAAGGCATTTAAATCATTATTTCGTCTAAACTTTTTTCGTGTTTTCTCTTGTTTTTAATATCTCTAATAATAGGTCCATTGAACTATGTAAGCTATTTTCTGGCAGTTGGAACATCTTTGGGAATACATATATCCATCATACCATATAGTTGTTGATAAAATAAATTACATGTAGTTTCAATATTATCCATTTCATTGATAAATGACCAGTCACATTGAAGCTATTAGTTGATATAACATCATATAATTAACGAAAGTTATACTATAAATTTTAACTTACTGGATTAGGTTTACTACGAGGATTACATATTTAAAAATTAATATTCAAAGCAGGATGCGAAACATCTTCAGGAACCATCAAATCATATACCCTTAGATTAGATTAGATAGATTAAGAGTTGGACGTTATTTGTCCTTGTCCACCGCGACCTTTTCAAATCTATTGTGGGACTCCGTTTGTTTTATAGTATGTCGTCTAGCCTAGTCTCTTTTATTAGACTTAGTAGCTTTGACAGTAGCTCCCGCATGTAGTTGCATGCATTTGGATTTTCTTCGCCCAATGTTATAAACCTCATTTCAGTCAGGCCTTTACATTGGCACAAGACGTGGAATAATGTTTCCTCTTCTTCTTCATAGAACCAGCACAAAGTTGCTTCTTCTGCTGGATTGATGACACTCATGTGCCTTTTGAGGTGACAGTGTTCAGTAAGAAGGCCTACTGTTATGATAACGGTTTGACGCTTCTGATCCAATAGGTCTTTCGTGATCTTGGCCGATGGTTCCTTGATGAACTGTTTGGCCTGTCTTAGTATTGGATAGTTGTTCCACCATTCCTGAGACTCTTTTTGCATCCATTGTTTAATATATGTCTTGCACAATACCTTAGCCTTCTCAGGCTAATTCGTCGGCTTTTTCGTTGCCCTGATATCCCCCATGGCCTGGAACCCAGGCTAGGGTCACCTTATTTTGAGTACTTAACTCTGTCAGATCTTCTAGACAGTCTTTCACCAGTCGTGATTTGATTTCTGGTGAGAGAATTGCCTTAGAGCTGCTTGGCTATCAGAGTATATGGCAATAGTTTTGCTGATTTATTATTTCTCTTACACAGTGTTGTATGGCTATTAGCTCAGCCTGGAACACTGTTGCATATTTTCCTAAACTCAACGAAATCGTTGTTTTCGACTTGTGTCCATAGATTCCATCATCGGCTCCTTTCTTTGTTTTTGAATTGTCTGTGTACCAGACGAGTTCAGCCTGTACGGGAGGTCCCTGTTTCCAGGATTCTCGGGCTGTTATTTGAATTTGAAAAATTTCTTTCAAATTTGTATGTGGCTATGGCTCTATCAGTAGGCATAGCTAGAATAATATCCCTTTTTACTTGCTGATATAGCCTTGTATGGTCGGCGCTATGTAGTTGGCTTATTGGGTTTTGTCCCTGCATTAGCCTGTGAATATCTGACCTGGTTTCTCTTTGTATAAAGTATGTGCAGTGGCGTGAGAATATACCCTTTCAACAGTGCATGATTCATTACAAGAAACTAAGTCTAATAATCGATTGTTTATGTTAAATATATTATTATATTGTTTGAAATCGTGAAGATGTACGAAAGCATTTAATTCAACTAGTTGACCAGTAAGAGGTGCCATATTTACATACTGGGGAACGTTAAAGTCTTCTAAAAGAAATACTTTCTCGTAACTAACAAAATTTAAGGTAGAGAGACAATCAAATAAGACTTTATAATCAATACTTTTATGACTTGCAGAAATGTAAAAAGTAGTATTAATATTTTGTAATAATTTATTGTAATCATAGTGCCTAGAATAATTGGAATAATATTGCTAATAAATGTTAGATCTATTTCATTACTAATAAATTATTTATTGACAGATAGCAAAACACCCCCACCGTAATTTAATTTAACTCGAGAAGTAGATCTATCCTTTCTATAAACATGAAAATTATCGGAAAATATCTCACAGCTATGAAAAGATTCGTTTAACCAAATCTCTGTCAATGCTACAAAATCAAAATCGGACTGAAGAGAAAACAAGTAAACGGTATGCCACGGACATTCTGATAATACAGATAGCAGGTCAAGTTTTTATAAGAAATATTAAATAAATTATTTTGCGGGTGTAAAGCAGTACCACCAATGGTTAATACATCCGACTGACTCATTTGCAATTGCTATGCTACATAAAGTGATGATTTTAGTTTATCTACATGAAGTTTATAAGACTTACAATGGGTGTCCCATGCATTATGATTTACATTAATTTGAACCAGATAATCCCGTTCCATCACCTCTTCACAATTTATACATTTTAATTCATCAACTGAAGCCTTACATTCTTTTACAGCATGTTTTTCTGCTTACCTTGGACAATAAATAGTACTACTGGGACAATTTTTTGAAAAATGATTAATACCATTACATTTATAACACCTCTTAACAGATACACAATCATAAACAGAGCAAACATCAAAGCCAATAAATAGTTTACCTTCACTATTCGTCATGATATTATTCTATGATGCAACATCAACCTGCAAAGTTGCTTGATAAATTTTTCTATTCTTCTTAGTGCAAGGTATATCTAAAACTTTACATTCAATAAAGTTAGAACAAAATACAGATTTGTTTTTATTTAAAACATAATGTTAAATTTTTTCACTATCTAAATAAGTCAACAGTCCTACAACTCTTATTTTTGGTTTTATTCCAACCACGTCCTTGATTTCTTATTTTTCCATTAAGTTAGAACCAGCAAGATTTTTTATTATGAAAACTCCCAATAACTATTTCCCCATCTCTAATATTTTTTACACAGAAAATCTGAATATTGGAGCCTACCGGATCAATCGCATTTAAAATATCTGCTTTGGTGACAGAATTATTTTGAGAGGAATCTTTCGGCTTGATTATAACTGCAGAGGTGCTTTTAAGTTTCGTGAAGTACAAATTATTATTGCCGGTATTGGATACAGAGGTCGCAGTAGTATTAGAGCATACAATAGGATTCACGTTAATTTCAGTAATTTTTTTAACAGCAGCCATTGATAGTTTCTCCTTCAGATCTTCTTGCAAGTCTTTTAATCCCTTTGAGACTAGTTCTGTTAAGTTTTTGGCAATATCTTCAGTTAGTTTTTTTGCCAGTGATGAAATCTCTTTTATGGCATTTCCTACTTCTTCCTCAGCTAAATTTTTGACAAACTCAGGATTACATGATTTTAGGTCTGCATAACAATCAACACAATACCCAAGACCAGGAATCTTAACTAAACATTTTGTAACATCAATTGGTACATTACAGCAGGGCATATTAAATTGTTGTTTACGGATACAATAGCAGCAAAGGGTCGCCTGCGAAGTCCGAGTAAACTTTAATTTCAGTATTGATATTTTCTCCTTTAGATCTTCTTGTAAGTCTTTAAATCTCTTTGAGACCAATTCTGTTAGGTTTTTGGCAATATCTTCAGTAAGTTTTTTTGCCAGTGATGAAATCTCTTTCATGGCATTTCCTACTGCTTCCTCAGCAAAATTTTTGACAAATTCAGGATAACATGATTTTGGGGCTGCATAACAATCAACGGAATACCCACCAAGAACAGGAATCTTACCTAAATATTTTGTAACATCAACTGGTACATTACAGCAGGTTATATAAAGTTGTCGTTTACAGATACCATAGGAGGAAAGGGTCGCCGGCGAAGTCCGAGTAATCTTTAATTTCAGTATTGGTATTTTCTCCTTTAGATCTTCTTGTAAGTCTTCTAATCTCTTTGAGACCAATTCTGTTAGATTTTTGGCAATATCTTCAGTAAGTTTTTTTGCCAGTGATGAAATCTCTTTCATGGCATTTCCTACTTCTTCCTAAGCTAAATTTTTGACAAATTTAGAATAACATGATTTTAGGTCTACAAAACAATCAACGCAATACCCACCAAGACCAGGAATCTTACCTAAATATTTTGTAACGTCAACTGGTACATTACAGCACGGCATATGAAATTATCGTTTACAGATACCATAGCAGGAAAGGGTCGCCGGCGAAGTCCGAGAAAACTTTTTCTTGCATATTCCACATGCCGTATCTCTTCTAGAATTTAAAGGTTTTCTTATTGTACATTACAAGTAGGTGGTATCTTTGTTATTAACGCCACTTAGAAGTAATCATAAATTAATATATACTAAATCACACTTTTTAACAATAAATTAATAGAGCACCTTTACGCACGACTCGACTCGACGTTATCTATATCTATGAATTGTTATAAACACCTAAGTGCTTACAGACACAACCGTTGAATGTACTATTATATCAAGCAATACAACCCCTAAGCTGTGTCCAAATCGATTCTATCGGATTTAATTCAGCTTGAAATGGTGGTACTTACCGGACTTACTGGTCATTACTCGACTATATGATGCTTATCTTACCTGAAATCAAAGAAAAAAAAATACATTAGCAAAGGCGCAGGATAAAAATATTCTTGAAAATGTGCAGCATCGGTTAACTAAAGTATCTTTCAGACGCATTGTAATGCGAAAAAATTTTAACCAGTCCGATCCTGATCTATGTTATCGCCGCTCACCTGCCGCCTTACGAAAAATTTCTAGAGTGTATGTTTGATGAATGATATGGAATTGAAATTTTTGGCGCAGGTGACATATTCGATAAAATGGTGGAATATTTGTTTAAGATCCTTCACTTTTATATATAAATCAATTTCATGTTAAACGGGCGTAAGTCCATGTATTAACAATTTTAAAAAACTGATAAAAATCATCCTTTAAAAATGTTTTTTCTCAAAGAACCTGTAGAAGCAGAGGTCGTTCTATAAATAGAGAATCGGGGAATGAGGCCGGAAAGTCACAAAGATCAATCTTCCGAAGCCCGTCACGAAATCCAGCAAGAAATATTCACAGCAGCTATGGGTCCTGAAGTAGCCAATCACCCACACCGAGTCGGTTTTCTAGCAATAATCAGAAAGTAGAGCATCGTAGAGGCCATCTGTATGGCAACGCAGACATTCTCTCCAGGCGACCCTGTTTAGAACGAGAATGCCAGTACAGTAAGGGGCTCGGAGAACGGGAGGAACCAGTTGAAAAAGTTACCCTTCGGGCGATTACTATCAAGCCAGAGGGCGGCGAAAAAGAAATCACTCTTGAAAGTCTGAGGCAGGGACAGAAGAAAAACAATGACGTAAAGGTTGTCTGAGAATGGCTCAAAAATAAAGTCACACCTACTTGGAAAGAGATAGCCAAATACAGTAGATGGCCTATTGCACCGAAAGGGGAAGACCCCGATGGAGTACATGTATTCCGCCAAGTGATACTGCCGAGGTCACAGGTGAGAAGTGTATTGAAGGAGCTTCATAGCAGCCGTTCAGGAGGACATTTTGATACTAAAAGGACACTGGCAGGAGTTCGAAAAAGATTTTATTGCCGGCGGGATGTAGCGGATTGGTGTAAAAGATGTGGTGTATGCAATGGCGGGACAAAGGTCTATGGATTCGCTCGGGAATGACTGAAAGCCCACACTGATAAAGCAGAAGCTAAAATCGACAGGCGTGCCACAGATACACATTTTGAGAGGGGCGACAAGGTATGACGGTGAAATCCCAAGCAGCGAGAAGGACTTTGTCAGAAATCGCAACGGAACTGGCGAGGGCCCTTCTCTGTCCTTAAGGATAATCAACGACCTGATCTGCCGCATTCAACTGTCAGCGGGAGGTAATTCCAACGTAGTTCACAGTGGAAACATAGCCCCAGATCCTCCCCATTGGCTCCAGCCAGGTTCCAGTAATCAAGTTAGAGAGGAGAGAGCAATGTTATGCAGCACCCTGTAGCGTGCTGCGGTCGTCATTAGTAAAGGTACGAGTAAATAAAGAAGATAGAATAATCCAGAAATGTCTCGGAATGTCATTCTTTGTCAAAGAAAAGTACGGATTATTTGAGAAGGTTCTAGAAGGTCGAGGCAAGCTATATAAGTCGACGACCTGACGTTAGAGTTCAGTTTTATGATAGACGTTACACGTTAATGTTATCAGTTGCATTGTTATTGTTAAAGTTCAGTTGAAATAAAAACCTGCGTAACAATATAATATTCACGATGCCAACATTAATTCGACAATCGATACATTCTATTTCTAGACGCGGGGCGAGGCGACGGAAGGTGAGAAGTAAGAGAAGGGATAAAGAGAAGAATTTTATTTAAACACAACTTATTTTTATCAATGAATAAATGTGTAAGACGCCGCGCTTTTAAAATACAACGTAAATTTCCATGCTGGTGTCAGTCTTGTTGCCACTTTCAATCTAACATCACTAGGTTTTAAAAATTTTTGAAAAATATTACATCTTATTTAGTGAAATTACATCTAATTTAGTTAAATTTAATATAATTAATATTCAAAATTTTTTGGGTTCAGTTGCAATAAAATAGGTTGAATTATTTTAGCATTTCAAATATATGTGTAAATAATTTTGTAAACAAAACAAAAATAATGAAATAGGCATATAGTATAGTGTAGATTAAAACTTATTTTGACTTTGCCTCCCACTTCGGTGTCATAAGCTAAATTTTTCAGAGATGAAAGTACATTATAAGCTAAACCTTATTCCGGAGGTAATAGAAAATTAGACTTTGCAAAAGGGCACTATCATAAAAAATCTAGTTAATAATACCACCGTATAGAAAAAAATAAATGCTTATTTTTTGTTCTAATGCTCAATTAGGTCTTTGTAGGAAGTATTTTTTTATAATTATTTAAAAAAATCATTTATATTATCCCTTATGATCGAAACAAAATTTAAACGTCAATATCTCGGTTTCGGATGTCCACAAATTTGTATAAAAAATCTTCTTTTAAAAGTATACCTCTCATTTGACGAAAGACGAAGCCTAAATGAAAAAAAACTATTTTTTCATAAAAGTTTTGCCTAGGTATTTTTTAACATTGCTTTCTCCATATTTTTTGCTTTTAAATTAACAAAAATATAGCAATAAACAATTAGTGATGTCATGGTTTTACTAGAAAGCAAACATTGAAGGCAGAGCCTCTCGACTCTATGCATCTCTCTCAGTGTTGAAATGTATGCAATCAGTTTGACTTTCTTATATTATTTTATACAGGGATTATTGATTTATCCACTATGAATAATAGGGTGTATTAATTACTTCAAGATTTTTTTATTTTTGGAGGAAAATGAAAAATAAGAAAATATAAACTATTTATTGAAGGTAAAAATACAGTATATATAAGTAACAATTATAAACAGTAAGGTTATTGCTTTGCAAAATACAATAAATTCGCAATATAAATAAATTATAATATTAATAATAATTGGAAGAAAGTATATAAAGCATAAATTATTAATATTATTTATAAGTACAAGACTTTCAAACTAATCAGATTCACCACACGAATCAACATTTTCCAAAACATTAGCAGATGTGGTCAAACTATTTCTGCAGTTTTTCTGTACCATACAGGTGCAGGAACCGATACAGCAAACATTTTGTTTCCTGCATTTGCAAATTTTGCTTCCACAGTCTAGAACAGAATATTATTGTTAGAATATTGTACATCTATGAAAATTATCGGTGTATAGTATCTTTTTTGCATTTGCATGATGTAAGTTCTGTTATGTCTGGTCGCAGGTCTGGCAGAGTCTTAAAAGTGGGTATCAGACTTTCATCTTCAGTACTGATCAGTGCCAAATCCATTCAAAAAGTAATGGTGTTCAAGCTAGGTTTTCCAACAGGTTCTTTTCCCAATGCCAGACAATTGGCTGGTTGTATCACAACCAGTCAGAGAATGAAAAGCAGGCACATTTTTTAGAAGATTTTCATACAAATTTAAATAATGTACTGCTAGAAATCGTCTTGAGTCTCCTCGCCTTGTACTGGAACATATATATTTAGTCAAAAACATCTAAAATTAAATTAATAAGACTAGAACATCTGTATCGTTGCAATAATGCAGCGGAATACTCCGAATTTTTGGCTGACAATATGTGCAATAAGATACGTGTATCAGCATCATCGTGATTTGAATTTAAGAAATCGTCTTTTGATGGTTCAAAATTCTTCCTATATTTATTGATATTCGCAAATCCACCACTAGTTACAAATTAAATATGTTTTTGCTGAATGGAGTTTTTAAAAAGTTGTTCTGACAAAAAATTTGTTAAATGTCTTTTGTTAAATATCGAATGAATAAACAAAATCTATTGTTGCGGAAGTGGAATATTGGATCTGTCAATTTCTATACCAATTAATTTCTGGGATCCTCTCTTTTGACGTGTTGTACTTTTGATAGAATGTCCTTTATAATGATCAAATATCACATCTATCATTTGAGCATTAAATTTATTTCTAAAAATAATATTTACAAATATATCAGCATATTCTTTAACTGATATGCAACTTTTGGGCCTTCCTATTTTGATATCATTTTTGTCTTTGCTACTTGCAAAAACAAATCCGTAATTAAAATTTTAAACGAAAACTTATAACTTACCCAAATATATTCAGCTGCAACAGGATGAATGTAGATATAATAAAGACGCAAAAATGTCTATATTTCTTCCCAGTTTATTGCCCATTGGAACATAACGAGAAATTTTATGATAAAAAAATGAAAAAATCCTAATCAATAATGTGATACATCAGACGGCACGTAGATAGAAACAGAGCTATGATACGTTTGAAGGTGAAGATAAAGATACACTGACACCCGTATGCATAGTCGATCGCCGGCGATTCGCCAGAGATTCACTTCGGCGTATCGCCAGCGGATCGCTGTCATTGGCGAGTCATTGGCGATCGACTATGCATACGGCTGTGC